ATTCATACAATTGTGGTTATATTTTGAAACTTTGTGAAACTATCATCAACACTTCTGAACAGTTTCATTTTCACACACTTTGTCCTATATATTTTTTAACCATTTAACACATTTTTAAAGCTAACAGGAATACTGGTTATATTGACATTTTTGGGAGTAAGACTGCTGGAAACCACAACATAAAGGTGAAACAGTCTATTGCAAATCTGAATAAAAGGAAGGTTTCTTAATTATTATTTGATCACTTATACAAAATGCATTGCTTACTGTGTGATACTAGGCATACAACAAATAATATTAATAATCGACACTTCAAAAGAGAGCGATAGAAAATCTAAACCTTATCATAAACAAACGTAATTGAATGTAAGGCTAGATCTATTTGAATGTAACATATAATATCCACCCTAAACATAATTCATAACATTACTGTGATCTTTAGCAGATCCACATTTATTCATCTATGCATATGAAACTAATTTTTTCCTTTGAGTGCCAAAATCTTCCTTTTTTAAAATGGAAGATCCCACGAGAACAACTATTAAGTTCGGCTAATTACACAGATGCTTTGCCTGTTTCATTTGCCCCACCCCAGGTTTCCTCAACATTAGCTCTGATACTGTTTACTTGGCAGGTGTTCTCTTCACAGAGGGTCAGTGGTTGCTGCTTTTATCTTAAGGCTAATGCCCCGGCCACACGAGGACGAAAACGGTCGTTTGCGTTACTGTTTAGTGTCATATAGACCGTTCGGCCACACGAGGACGACCGAATACGGCACTAAACGACTGCGGAAACGATAACGGGTCCCAAGGTGGATAGAACGGCATACGCAACGCCCTGGGGGCAGTGGCGTAGCCAGGAATTATTGTGTGGGTGGGCCTGGAGAAATGTAGGTGGGCCAGGGGGAGACATATTAAGCGTGGGGTCTGAGCTGAAACTTCATTAATGATTTTAATGATTTTTTAATGCACTAATAGAACATAAGCATAAATTTGCAGTGAAAACAAAAACATAGGCACGGCGGCCTCAGAATGTGTGTAAAACTGACATCCACATAGGGATGGGTATCGTTAAGGCTTTAACGGTACTACTACTTTTATCGATAGCGCTTATGTTTATGCTCCAGGTTCAGTACCAACCACATCACAAAGTACGCGGACGATACAACAGTGGTGGGACTCATCAGGGACAACAACGAACAGGCCTACAGGGAGGAGGTGAAACATCTGACAGACTGGTGTAACACCAACAACCTGATCCTGAATGTCGATAAAATAAAAGAGATGATTGTCGACTTCAGGAACAAAAAGCACTGTCACCCACCACTCCACATCAACGGCACAGCAGTGAAGACTACAGATAGCACCAAGTTCCTGGGGGTGCATATCACAAGCAGTCTGACCTGGTCCACTCACACAACATCACTATTTAAGAAGGCACAGCAGCGCCTACACTTCCTGCACAGCTCTCCCCTCCCATCCTCACCACGTTCTACAGAGGAACCATAGAGAGCGTGCTGACCATCTCCATCTGGTCGAGAGACTGCAACGCCAAAGACTGGATGTCTCTGCAGAGAGTGGTCAGGACAGCAGAGAAGATCATCTGAGTTTCTCTCCCTCCCATCAGAGACACCGCTCAGAAACGCTGCCTGACAAAAGCCCAGAACATTTTGAAAGACCCCACTCATCCTCACCATGCTCTGTTCTCCCTGCTGCCCTCCGGCAAGAGGTTCCGCAGCATTAAGAGCAAAACAGCCAGATTCTGCAATAGCTTTTCCCCCAAGCCATCAGACTGCTGAACAGCAAGTAGACCAGTAACACAGAGATTACATTACGCTGTGTAAAGAGCACTTGTTATATAATATGTCTATTTTATTTATATGTATAGTAAGTCTTTATATTTTAAACGCACACTTTATCTTTAATTTTATCAGCACCACGTCACTATTATTTATTTATATGTACAATTTTATCAAGTTTTTATATTATCCTGTTCCTGTAAGCCAGTACGTTTTAATAGTACACTCTGTGTCTTGTTGAAATGACAATAAAGTATGTCTATCTCTATGTCTTATCGATCCGGTCCTTTAACATTACTTTTATCAGTTATTTTGGAGAAAAAATAAGGTAAACTAACTAAACAAATTGTGAAGAAAACTAACATTGCTTTTTATTTCAATTAAATACATAATATTTCACATCAAAAGAAACAACAATGTTTTAACAAATCGTATTAAATAATGTGATGACAGAACTGTGAACAGAATAGCTGAAACTTTAACCAAATAACTAACTCAGTTTCCTCTAATCATTAACCCATGTTTGTATCATGTAGTTAACTCTGTGTGTTGCTGCTAGCATACATAACACCTGACGTGGAAACGTTACTCGTGGATGGGGATAGAGAGCTACTAGAGAGACAGTGGAACCCGGTGCATTTCTCCGTCTGAATGTGGAGCACTTTTGCTAAATGTTTAGACAAATTGCTCGCGTTACCGCCCTTACATGCTAAACTCTTATTGCACTTTTGGTAACGAGTATTGTCCACATCGACACGGCTATAGTTTAACCACCTCGGAGCGCGTTCTCTCCGCCATCTCCTCCGTGTGTGTGTGTTGCTGCATGTACAGTAGCAGCTGCGTGTGTGTAAACTGCCCCGCCCCCTCCGTCATTCACTCACGGCAAAAGTTACTTTACTTACTATAAAAACTCACGGTAATTCACTCCCTATTCCATTGTCATGAAGGTGGAATCTAACTATATCCAGAATACGTTTTATTGGATCCAGGCTAGAAACATGTTTATTTCTGCTGTAAAGTTGGGCAATTTAACATGGGGGTCTATGGGAATTGCTCCTTTTTGCATCCATCCCCTGTCGGCCACTAGATGAACCGCAGTTTGTGGCACTTCCTTCTGGGCTTCCCGGCTCTGCGCTATGAAGCGCTGATTGGCTGTGGGTGGGCCAGACGTGCATGTGGGTGGGCCCAGGCCCACCCGGGCCCACCCACAGCTACGCCACTGCCTGGGGGGTCCAACGGCTCCGTGTGTAGGCCTACGCCCTATACGATCATTTTCTGATAATGATGAGGCAATAGCCCCGCCTCTCCTCTGCTGCTCACCCCCGCGTCAAAGTAAACTGCACACTGAATTCAGATTATTTATCTTTCTCTCGATATGGACATAAACGCGAGTGAAGTCTAATCTGACAGGACGGAGACACCTCTCAAACTACCTAAACTAGTTATAAATATGTTTATTTTTACTGTCGGCCGGGTCACTCATTACTGGATCAGCTGCTGCATGAGACAGACACTGATGCTGTCCGAAGAGAGGGAGGAAAAAGAAAGGCTCCGTGTATTTTTATTATTATATTATATAGAGTCGTTATTCATTTCTTTTAAAGCTCAATAAATAACAAAGAAGACCTTTGACCGGCACTTTTATAATTTTGTCGGAAGATTTAAACTTTAATACACGTTGACTGGCGAAAAACTCTGCCCGGTTCCCTCGGCCCCCACCGCGGAGAATAAACAGAAGGGCAACCATGACAACCATGCTTCTTCGCTGCTTTTGTGGAGGAAGTTACAGCGCCACGTACAGGCTCCTGCATATGTACTGCAGCTTCTCCAGCGGTTGGAGCTAAACGGAGCGGTCTCGTGTGGGCAGACACTATCCGGATGACTATTGCGTGTGGACGGAAGCTTTTTTGCGATTGCGTTTGCGTTAATCCTATGCGTTTAGCCGTTTTCGTCCTCGAGTGGCCGGGGCACGTTTTATGTTTGTCCAGCATGACATCTAATGAAAGGTGTCTTACCTTTTCATATTGCCTAATTTGTTGTGTGATTGTTGTTTAGTCAATTCAACATGGATTTGTTCCCCTGCAAAGACCGTGAAGTGTGATGAAAGGCTTTTACAAATAAACTGACCCGACTTCACATGCAAGCTGCCAAGAAAATGCAGCAATTATGAAACACAAGTAAATCATTTTTAGTGAAGGATCCTCATTATATAAAATGACTATTAACTAAAGTCGTGTGGCCCCCCATACATCAGTAAGCATCGAGCATCCATGGCCCATTAGTGGGGTTGATGAGCCTTAGAGAGGCCAATTGTGTCAAAGCACCGTAGGAAGAGTAGAGCGGCATTTCCCCTCTCCGCGTTGCACCATTATGCAGGTGTTTCATCTGTTCGGTGTGTGAGTTGGACTGTGGGAGTGATGAATGAGAGACAGTGTTAGTGACAGATGATACAAGCAGTCAGTCCTCCACTCTTCATGATGGCATAAGCCCTGGAGGACAATGGATATCTATCTTCTTGTTCTGACACTCTCAAAGAATGCAGTGTGTTTGCATAATCTAACATCAATCACTGTGGCGTTTTCTGTCATGCTCCTAGCGTGTTTGAAGACTATCTGTTAAGGTTTATTTTGGTGCAGATTACAATGATTTATCCACAGTCGTGCCACATTTTTTATAAAGCATCAGATTCCAATCCCTAAATCTAATTCAGGGTATTGGCTATGTAGTTAGCTTTTACAGAACATAGAGGTACACTTCTTATGTGTCGAAACATTTAGTAGATAAAGAAAAGGTTGATTTAAAGGACAGAAACCATGCATAGCATTTAACTATAGTGACCTGCTGGGAAAATGTGAGGATGTGCTGCTTTTCGTTTAATGTTTTTGTATATAAGATGTCTATGGGTTTCGGACTTCTTAAAAAGAAAAAGTTATTTGATTGAAATTGTGATGGGTATCGTTCACTCTTTTCTGACATGCTATAGACTTTGGAGTAATCAACAGGTTAAACTATGAGTAAAATAATCATTATTTGTATCGTGTAAGCGAAGAAGAACTGCAACAGTTCAGATTAACTTTCATGTGTGTTGCTTCTTTGTTTCTTCCATTGATCCACTGTTTTCGCTTCTCTCAACTTGTATCTCCCTCTTCCTCTACAATGATCTCAACACCGCTCTATTTTTCTTTTTTTCTCCGTCTCTCAGGTGTTATGCTAACGCCCCAGCTGTCTCAGATGGAGCTCAGCCTTGGTAAGTCGTGTATATTCTTTGTGATTCAAGGGTCATTTAAAAGATATCACCCAATATCTTGAAATCCTTCTAAGCACATTAGATAAAAAACACATGGACTTGTTTTCATGGTTGCACACTTCAAGTAATGTCAAAAATATATGTTCTCATCCAGAAACACTTATCAAGCCCTTTGGCCAAAATAAATCCAACTGTAAGTGTTGTGAACACACAACAACAAGCAGTCTCATGCTGACAGTTACACTAATGCAGTAGTCAGTCAGAATTAGTGGCATATCTACCAACATCCTTAATGTTTTCTCAATGCTGACACACACACACACACACACACACACACACACACACACACACACACACACACACACACACACACACACACACACACACACACACACACACACACACACACACACACCCCGAGTTTGGTTAGGAGGGACAGCACAAAAAAAGCACTAGACAGAGATAACATTAGACAGAGATAACATTAGACAGAATGGCAAGAGGCTGCTTTTGAACTTTTTGTGAAGATGGCCTTATTCATTTTTAATACAACAGAGATGTTGGGAATCTATTTATAGACAATTCATTGTGGCTCAGGTTAAGATTCCTCAAGTGAGAATCCAAACATAAATAGTCTTGCAATGGTCTTTGACAGAAGAGATTGACAGCTTCAAAGACTGGCGCATGTCTTTTGAGGTGACTGCAACAAAGGCTCCCCGGCCCACTGTTGTGTTCGCAACAAAGCATGACTCAGTACAGATATTCCAGGAATGTAGCTCCTCAATTTCTATTTCATGTCCACAGTATTAGAAAAGATTATTCCACAAATGTATTCTCTCTAGTGATTACCTTGATGCCAAGGAAGTGCTCAGTGTATGTCTTATGACCATTTAAATAGTTAATGTGTTGTCTTGTGTTGACCTGCAACCGCATCTTTACACCTCCATGTTCACATTTCAATTACCTAGAGCAGGGGTGTCCAACTCAATTTCATCGCGGGCCACATCAGCATTAAGGTTGCACTCAAGGGCCGGTTGTAACTTTAAGACTATATATATATAAATAATGTTTTATATAACATTATTGCCTCTGCATTGGATTATTATCTGATAGGGTAATAACTTCATAATTAACTACGTCTGAGAGCAGAAGTCTAGGGCAAATCATTTCAAATAATTGCAAGTCTCTTCAGTGCGAATGTCACAAGATGCATTGTGGTACATGTAGTTTATGGACATTGTGCTTCTGTAAAGAGGCAACACTAAGGGAAGCAACACAAACCAGAATGGAATTGGTAAAAGTTATAAGTGGTTTTATTAAAAATATAATGGTGGACCAAAATAATAAGGCATACAGCCTGGCACAAACAAAGGGCAAAACCCGGTGGGCAACAACCAAAAGAAAGAGACTCCAAAAGGGAGTTTGACAGAGTATACACAGAAAATAATTAGTACAAAAAGAGTAACAAAAACCTCACTGAACGTGGTACGTGTAACTGAAAAAGCTGTAGAAAACACAGCTGCTACTAATTGGCAGGCGCTAACCGCTATGCTACTCTGAATCCTATTTACACAATTACACTGCAATATCTAACTAAACACAGAAGCTCTAAGTTAACACGCGGTTACACAATATATCTTTCACACAGAAGTCACTAAACCATCACAAGAATATCAAGAAGCTAGAGGCGTCTGTCCCACATCACAGAGCCTCCCGAATGATCTCCGTCCCCGGCCTTTGTACTCCTCCCCAGCAGGTGTGCGCCGGCTGTGCGCTGCGATTGGAGTGCGTCGGGCCCGGCGTGCTCCAATCACAATCTTTGGGGGCGGACCAGAGGATGGGCAGCCAATGACGTCAGGGCTACTGCGCAGCTCATTTACATAGAACACACACACAGCTGAAAACACTCAAGACGACCAGGAAGGCAGCAGCCGTAACAGGCATGAAACCGTATAATAAACGTATTATATGTTTTGAAGCTCTTGCGGGCCAAATAAAATGAAGTCGGGGGCCGGACCACAGGCCTTGAGTTTGACCTGACCTAGAGAGTACCAAAATACAGTGAGTCCTAAACACAAGTAGTCAGAGTTCATTTATAACGCTTGCTTTGGGTTCTAAATGTTTTGTTCTCAAATGATGCTGTATGTTTCACTTAAATAGAAAAATAATTTTAAATGATATGTTCGGAGCCTTGGACGGTTCATAGAGAGAAAAAATAAATAAAACGAGGCCACACTTTATTAATTTGTGCGCACGATATACTTTTTCGTTACCGGTGCGCCAAGTAGGAAGTGGAGCGCACAGGAGACAACCGTTTCATTGCAGACTGTTATGTTTATGTGGGGAAATGGCAGTACATACATTATTTGAGATATATTTCAAACTCGGACTTCATTTTTAAAATGTACACACATGTGTATTCCCAAGTGAAAGAAGTTTGTTTAATCTTAATCTTGATGTAGGCTAGTGCTAAATGCTGTCGGAGTGCACCGGAACAAACGCCACTATCATAATATCTTCTGAAAACAAATGCCCACACACACAGACACACACACAAACATACACACACAAGCCCTGGCAACCGGACATCTTCTTCATAAAACTAATAATATGGCGTAATAATCGGGCAGTTCGATGTGTCTAACCATAAGAAAGTATCTTGTTCGCACGAGATACGTATATCGTGCGCACAAATTAATAAAACGTGGCCTCGTTTTATTTTTTTTCTGTCTATGAACCCTCCAGGGCTTCGTATATATGGGTCTGAAATGTTAAAGAAATAGAGTTGTCACAAGGAAATGCCATCTCCCTCTAAAATTGCTCTGGTCGATCGTTTTCTCAAAATACAGTACAGCTGTCAAAGCCAAATGACAGTGTTTCATATCTATACATTTTTCATTATAAGATATCTCTGATAAATGAAATGTTGAAAACTGACATGAAACTGAAACTTTACATTTTCTAAAAGTGATATTCTTTGCGTAAACAAATGTTTTGACCATTGTCTAAAGATAAGGCCTATAATAGTCAAGCATGAAGTCTATCACGTTCTCCATTGTGTCAATCATGATACCCTCCTGACATTTTTTTAGATTAGATTCAATTCAGATTTAATTTTCTGAAAGCGCTAGAATCGCACATGAAAAATATTGAAAGTTGCCAGCTGCCCTCGGCCATGTCTTTGGCGGTGGTCCAAGCTTCGGTACCACAGTGCATAAAGTTAGTAATACATTTGTACGGTTCAAATGCCAATACATTTGTGTAAGGTTATTCTAAGTCTTATTCTCATTCATACTTAATTTAGTTCTTCTTCTGTCAGTATGAACACACAAAACTAACCGGTATTATATTTCATTTTAAAGTTTACGGTCTAAAAAGGTATTTAAAAGTCTGACAATCAACTTGTTGAAACCTGCGACAACCTGTAATAAGAATAACAATAACTATCCAAGCATTCATCCTACCTCCCGATGGAAACAGTTGAACAGAAGCAAGCCAACAAAATACATACATACAAGATTTCATACACAAGTAAAAGCTTTGTGTGGTTTAATGGAAATGATGAAGGACAGAGAAAATAAAGAGACATTCATAAGGGAAGCATCTGACAGCCCACACACAAACTATTCAGTTGCTAATATTAAATTCAAATTATTCTAAGGAAACAGGAAAAACAGATAATTTGTCGTTGCTTTTGGCATAAGCAGTCAGAGGAAACATAACGTCCTCAGTAAGATTACTTGAAGAACTAGAGCACAAAAACTAAAGTAAGCTTTACTTTCAATGAACCTTCAATATATAGACCTAACATGTGAAGAAATATATGAACCTCACAATGAGCACAATATGTCCTCTTTAAGCATGTTAAACACACATAGTGGTGGGAAGCGGTTTCATGTTTAAGCGAGGGATGTTCAAAATAAACTATTGCGTGTACTTGAGGTCAATGCAGAGATTTGAGGCCCTGTTAAAACTCTGTAGCAACAGGGAGCTGAGTATACTGTAAAAAGTCATTATTCTTTGTTAATAAGTATGCACACTTATATGGAAGTTCAATAGCAAATGATTGCACAAACAATCCCACACACATTTGCACTTATTCTGTCACCACAACATTATGTGGTCTTTGCTTTGCTCAATGCAATACTTAAAGCTAGCCATGTGAATGTGAAGTCATTATTTAAAGCTTAACAACATGACCAGTTTATTAAATAGCTGACTTTATAAAACCGCTCAGCTTCCACAACACTAATAACACAGTCTGAGAAAGACATGTACTCCCTACTTCTGCTCAGATAAAGTACGAGACATGTGGTCAACAGCTTGTCAGACTCATCACTTGCTCAGGTCTTCTTTATTCGAACTAAAAATAATGAGGAGATTTGTGTGTTAGTGTTTGCCTCTGTTTTGACACTGTCATAAAAATGTAATGTGAAGACTTCTCTACCCAAAAAGTTAGATATAAACAAACAAGCTCACCGAAGAAATGGTAATGTGTTTCTGTCAATACCAACCAATTTAAATGGGTGACTCCGGTGCCTTAGTGCAGACAGGCAGTAGGAGAATTATTCTCGTTATATTCCAACCCTTGGATGAGATATTGATAAAACTAATGGTTAATTATTCATCTTGTTATGACTCCAAAGCACTGCTGCACATCAAAAACGTTCTCTTAGATTGCTTTCAGGGGAACTCAGGTCTCGTTTTGGAAAGGAAAGTCCCTCCATGGCTCCTTTCAATTTCTACACTGAAGGAAATGCAGCAGTTCTAGAAGTAAAATATTCTGAAACATAAAAATACTCTATTAGTGCCTCATACAGGCGACAGTGTATAAGCACAGTTTAATAACATCAGTAAAGAAAATAACTGAACAGTAGCACAATTAATGTAAAATCTTTCATACATCCATGTCTCTCCTTTTAATGTGTTCTGTTCTTTTTATCAGAGTCAGTATGTAATGATGTACGTGACACGTTGAATATCATATATTCTGTGAGGTG